CGGGTCAGGATTGAGGGGAGCTGGCAGGGCTGGGGGGGCGGTGGCCCAAGACTGGAATAGCAGCAGGGGCTGCGGGTCAGGATTGAGGGGAGCTGGCAGGGCTGGGGGGGCGGTGGCCCAAGACTGGAATAGCAGCAGGGGCTGCGGGTCAGGATTGAGGGGCGCTGGCAGGGCGCGGGAACGATGGATCAGGAACGAGATACGGGTGAAGTTTGCAGACACCTGCCTAAGCTACTGCCCCAGCCCGTGCTACTAACCCCTCACCTCCTGAGCCGGAGCGTGCGCTCAGAAACCTGGGATGCATTATTCATTTTGCACTTGAGTGGGTGAGTTTCTGGCTCTGTGTGTTGGGCTGATTTTTTTTTAAAAGCTCCTGTCCCTTTAAATGCACCAATATTACCTGCAAACCCAGCTGGGCTGCATTACTAACCAACCCTGCCAATAAAACAGCTTCCCGGGGGCTTTGCCCCTGCCTCCAGTCTCTGGTGTGCTGCATTCCCCCCGGCTAGGTGAGTGCTGAGGTCTCTCCAGTGCCTGGCTGGGTCTTTTCAGCCCTCAGGGGGACTTGAACAGGCTGTTGGCTCTGCTGTAACTGGGACCCCCTGTTTGTTGCAATGAGCGGCTGGTTTTCTGAAGCCCCTGTTGTTGTATTGTCTATTCCCTCTTTCTGCAAGTGGCCTTGGTGTCTTGGTATCATAATATAAGAACTAGGGGCCACCAAATGAAATGAATGGGCAGCAGGTTTAAAACAAATAAAAGGAAGGTCTTCTTCACACAGTCAATGTGTGGAACTCCTTGCCTGAGGAGGTTGTGAAGGCTAGGACTATAACAGGGTTTAAAAGAGAACTGGATAAATTCGTGGAGGTTAAGTCCATTAATGGCTATTAGCCAGGATGGGTAAGGAATGGTGTCCCTAGCCTCTGTTTGTCAGAGGGTGGAGATGGATGGCAGGAGAGAGATCACTTGATTATTACCTGTTTGGTTCACTCCCTTGGGGGCACCTGGCATTGACTACTGTCAGTAGACAGGATACTGGGCTGGGTGAACCTTTAGTCTGACCCCGTATGGCCATTCTTATGCTCTTTATTAGGGCAGACAAGGCTCCCCAGCCTCTGGGCTATGCTTATATCATGGGCCCAAACAGAGCTAGGAAGAGGTGGTGGCCTGACCGGGATCCTCCTGTGTTGCATCATGACATTGGCAGCAGTCTCGCTCTGCCTGAGGCTGGTGATAGGCCCCTTGGCCTGTTCCTGAGGCCTGGCTCCCCACAGCTCTGCCCTCCTGTTTGTGCCAGGGCCGAGCGGCTGTTTTGAGCTCGTGGGAATCCCTGCACCGGGGCAGGCTGATGGCAAATCAAAGCCGTGTTCGTGTCCACCAGGGGACGCTGCAGCGCGGCCCAGAGGCTGGAGCAGATGTGGCTGCTGGGGATGGACTGATACCAAAGTGACTTTACTGGTCATATAGGCTGGCACTAGGGCTGTGTGACCCCCTTCTATCTGGGGCAGGCACAGCAGTGACAAGGTAGCCATCACACTGCTGTGCGCCCCCCAACCATGGCTGTGGGTCCCCCTGCCTGGGAGCAAGCCTCCCCCCGTCCAGAAGAGATCTGGGCTGCGTTCATTCGTTGGACTCTTTGCTGAGGCTCCCAGCCAGGGCGCTGGTTACGACCATGGTGCTGTCGGCTCCTGTTCACCGGGGCCTGGCTGGTGACTCTCGTGCCCTGCCTGGGGTGAGGCTGTTGTGGCGCATGGGGGAGGGACTGATTCCCCTTCCTCTGGGGGTCCTGGCCCCTTTCTCCCTCTAAATGACTCCAAAGGCACTTGCTAGGTGCCTCGCTGTCTTGAAATGCTCCTCTCCAAGCGCTTCAGTCTCTGTTTCCGGGGGTGACTCTCTGCCACCTCCTGGGTGCAGCTAAGGCCTGGATCCCTCAGGCAAGTTGCTCGCGAGGG